GTCGCCTTCTAGCACGTTATTACTTGTCCAAATTTACTTGATCGAGAAGAAGGACTCCGGTGAAATCCACCAGAACAGATGGAAGTGAAGATCTCACACCTTGCTTAGTTTTCTAAGCATTGCAACTATCTTTTTATTAAAAAAAAAAACAACAAACCAAACAACAAACCAAACCCAAACAAACAAAGCCCCCACGAAAAAAACCCAACCTCACGTGTACATGCGCTTTACTCTTCTCCTGTACACCGTAAGGAGCCCCTGTATCGATGAAGCGCTACTCTGAATGATATGGGGAGTTCTCATCGAATGAATGCAATAAGTCGTACACGTTCGCTAAAATCAGCTATGTAAATTCACTTGCTAAAGAAGCACAACCTACGAACTACTTTAAAATTACTCAGAAAGTCCCACTGTGTTTAACTCAGAAAACAGCAGCCATCGTATTCAGATTTAGTTGTTAGCGTGAGAGACGGAGCTAGCCAGTAAAAACAGACCTAAGTATCGTTAGTCACTTGGTAAATATTTTTAAAATATACATTTTTAACTTTTTTTTCCATTTCTATACGCCTGCTCAGGACAGTGGATTCATACTGTCTTTCGTAGGTAAAGCTATTCGGCCATTTATAAATGTCTTTGCTTCTTAATGCCTGTGTCATTGTAAAAAAAAAAAAATAATAATACCGATTTCCCTCTTCCCCCTCCCCCTAACAAAAACCTTTACATCGAAGATTAAATGTCACAGTTAACGTTTTCATCTCTAGGTTTCCCAAGAAATTTTCTGCATAGTACGTTGTTTTAAGCATCAAAACGAATTTCAGTTTCTTTTTACATCAATACATCTTATTCACCGTCTTATTTATATAGCTGACCAGAAGCCTTCGACAGAAAGACATAGGATATAGAAAACTTTGACCTTACCTGCTCCCTAATGTGCTTGCAGCCAGAAAAAAAAAAAAAAAAAAAAAAAAAAAAAAAAAAAAAAAAAAAATTTTCGCCTCTTCCCCCCAAAATGGTGTTAGGCAAAAAAAAAAAAAAAAAAAAAAAAAAAGAAAAAAAAAAGAAAAAAAAGTCATTTCGTATTATTCACCACTTTGCCAGAGACGGTAATCTGTCTACCTCATAGCAACAGCCGTACTGGGTCAGATCTCTGTACACATTTGATACATATAAACAGTATTACCATTTACTTAGGGTTTGGAGGGGATTTTTTTCCCCCTGAAGGGGATCATGAGAGGAACAGCAGGTCAGACAGAAAAAAAAAAATATTTCTCAGCTTTGCTCCCGACACGGCCATGAAAGGACTGAAATTCTTCAGAAGTCACTCAGTCTTTACCTCTAGGTCCCCTTTGTAAAAGCAGCCGTCACGACAAGTTGGACCGGGGCTGCCTTCCCAGCGAGGCCCCTCTACCTGCGCTCCGCCACAAAACTCCTAAAATACTTTCCCCCCCCGCCGTGGCAACTTCTCTTGGTGTCATCTCAGCGCTGTCTCAGATTACATTGTTTAGGACCTGCACTTTTGAACACTGTCTTAGGGCCCTGCACTGCCTTTTGAACCCAGATGCAGGCGCAGCAGCGCGCCCGGGGCAGGCCCCGCCGCCGCGGGCTCTCCCAGCCGCTCCAGCCGAGCATCCCTCTGGCTAACAGGCTGCTGTGAAGCCACAACAACAACAAAACCCACCCCACAACCCGTTTTGATATGAAACAGCAAATATGAAGAAGCCTTTTGCTATTGTTGCTGTGGTTGTGGCGGTGGTAGTGGTGGTGGTGATGGTTTTTTGTTGGGTTTTGGGTTTTGGGTTTTGTTGTTTGGTTGTTTTCTTCGGGTTTGGGTTTTTTGTTGTTGTTGTTGTTTTTTTGCACAGCCTGCTGTGCCACTACATGCACACTTCATGGCACTCAAGCATGAACTCCTATTTACAGCAGGAAAAAATGCCCTCCGCGATTCTCCTACATTTACAGGCAGTGCCAGGGAATGGGGGAGTGGAAGGGAAGAGCCATTCTTCCCCAGATCCCTTTATCTCTCAGAATACGGGGTGCCCACGGTCTCACGTCGATAAAGGAGCAGTTATATTGGGAAACGTGCATTTCTTCCATAATTTCAGATTTGAATCATGCTGTGTCGTCGTCCTCCCCCCCCCCCCTTCGCCATCCCATTATCCAAGTTCTGCATTGATTACCGGGAGACTGGAAAATCAGCGTATTGGAGGACGCAGGCGTTTAGACGGAGGCACATAGTTTAATTTAGAAAAGCTATACAGTGGCTAAGTTCTCGTGAGTGTTCTCGAGGGAGACTGGAGATTAAAATGTATTTACCCCCCCCCCCCGAAATATCTTCATCCCAATCAAGGCATAACTGGTTTATACAAAGAATTTTATGATAAAAGGCAATAACACAATGTCATAAAAAAACTCTATAAAATTGTTAAAGAGCAGTTTGTTTGCATTTCTCCTGATTGATATGTAAATACAGTTTGAACTGTGTTTGCTCGGTCTCTAGTGCTTAATAAAGAGATGAATGCACCTTTCTGTGGAACAAGTAAACAGACTTTAAACTAAGCCGACATCAGACAAAGTGGAAACGAGTTTATTTAATCGAAACTAAATCTAGTTTAAGAAAGATAAGTCAGTGTACATAATAATCCATTACAGTAATTACACCCACCACCAAATATGTGTTTATGAGGTTGTCGAGACACAATAAAATTCATTTATTTCCCCCGAAGTCTATAATGAAAAGTCACTGGCTGGATGTCTATCGAACATGCTAACTCCAATATTTGCGGGGGGGGGGATAATATTTCTCGGCTGTATTAATGCCTTTCGGTGCTCCTCACTTTTGGACATTCCTGTGTTTGAAAGGATGCAAACATTAATCACATCTGAAGGGGAAATGTCGACTTAACCACAGCACTTTCCCCTCGGTCTTGTATATTAGCTGCGGGAGAAACTAACCCCAATTTTAAAAAATCCGTAGAGTTAACCCTACTCTCGCTCCCTTGGCGGGAGCTGGCAGCGCTGTGCCACGGGCCAGGAATTCCCAGCACTTTCTTCTTTTAGCAGAAATTACAGCCCCAAGCTCCAGACCCCCAGCCCCAGCCCCCGCCATGCTTAACACGATGGAAACGAATGAGCTGAAACGAATATTCTGCGTAGAGCAAGAATGAAAATAAGCAATATTCTTTGGGTTAGTTGAGAATGTCGCTGTATAAAGCAGGACATAATATAAAGAATGAAAGGTCTCGAAATTCCTGTTGACACACGTGATGTTCTTTAGTTAGAAATAAAGGGGGGGGAGGCAGAAACAATCCGATAATCTTTTTTTTTTTTTTTTCCTTCTGTCTATTTCCCTTTTTCTCCATCCAAACTAGCACTTGGTGTCCGAGTAACACCGGCTATCTTGTATAAATAAAAGACTGGAGCTTTCGAAAGCTGCTACTTAAACTGGAGGTTGGGTTGTTTCCATCTCGGGCAAGCTGCTTGCTTTCTCTTCAAAAATATGAGCATTTCATAATACCTCTGTAACTCAGACGTCTTTCAATGACTGCGATTCTCTTCCGTGGTTTAACTGAGGGGATCTGGAGAAAAAACCGAAACCGAGCAGCAGATGCGAAGGAAAACACGCTACGAGGTCTTTTAGGATGGGGGACTTCTTATTTTGTTACACTCACAAAAGGGATATTTGGGACCCGAAAGACAGCGAATTACATGTGTTCCGGGCTTCTCCGATACGAGCCGCTTAACTTGATATGCTTTATATATTTACAGCAAAGTTAATATCTAAATGCCTTGCGTTACCCATAGTATTTGCCTTCCTCCCAAACGCCCCTCGGTGCCTCAGCCAGGCGCGCACCCACGCACGCCCACGCACACACACACACACACACACGTGCGCGCACACGCACTTTCTCTTCATCTCCTTTACAAGCTTCCCAAAGCACTACAGGAAAAAAAAAAACAAAAAACCAAAACCAAAAACAAAACAGCAACAGAAAAACACCAAAAAACCCCAAACGACACGCAAACCCCAAAGCAATCTGCGTTAAAGGGGGATGCAGCCTGCAGCTAAGCTCTCGCCCGGGTAACGCCTGCCCGAGGCGCTGCCTGGCCGCCCGTGCCCCCGTGCCTGCGGGGGTGGGTGCGGGTAGAAAATTAAATACGGTCTGATAAAGAAAGTTAATTCAAACTACGTGTCGTACACAATAAACTATCTTTTTATTTTGATTATAAATAAGGTGACTGTACTTCCCTTAAAATACAGGTACATAGGAAAACCTGGTAGAAATCATTATCTTTTCTTTTTTTTTACAAGCTCTTAAAGCTGGACGCTCTTTAAATCGGCCGCATGTTCTATACTGTCAGCAGATTCTTCGTTAATTTGTTTCTAGTGGCGTTAGACTTTTACCTTCTTTCTCCTCCGTGCCTTTGGCATTTGAATTTCTACTCCCGGAATACTTTGCTTTCTCTAGCAAGAAGTCTCTGAGGTGCCCCCCGCCCCCCCAATAATCGGGCTAATGAATTTGGACTCGATCCCTTCGCTCTCGAGTTTGTGAATCCCACGCGTTTGCGAATCCCACGCGTTTGCTTGGCGCTTTTGCACGCTGAGGACTGATCCTGTATCCCGTTAACTCCCTGGCGCAGCTCCGCTCTGGGAACAGGGTCCGGGCCCTGGGAGGGGCAGGGGCCTTTCAGGGTTTGGCAGCATCCCGGGTTGTTTGTCCATCAAGCAAAAAAACAAAACAAAAAAACAAAAAAAAAAAGAAAAGATGCGAGGAAGGGAGGGTCGGGAGGGGGAACCAAAGGGAAATAAAAAAAGAATATTCGTAATGTGTATAATTTATTAGAAGCTTCTTAGGAACTATATTTAAGCCAAATATCTACATAAGTTACAACAGGAAAAGGCGGCGTGCGCAAATAACAAACTGCCAGAGGATTTACGACGGGGCGATCAGTGTCCATAAAAAAGGTGGGGGTTGGTTTGGTTGATTGTATTTTTTTTTCTTTTTCTTTTTACAACAAAATATACAGGCTACTAAAAACTATGAGTTTAGTCCAACTTTTGACAGCATTATACAGCTACAGGTTCACATCAAACGTAAGGAGGAAAATAAAAGCCAAGCCTTTGATGACTCCACGTCTCCATCCGCGGGCCCTGGCGGCGGGGCTGGGAGAGGAGACCGGGGGAGGGGGGAAGCTGCTTCTTGTGTCTGGGTGACGCGAATGCGTTTTTTTTGGGGAAAACCACCCCATCCCCCAAAATCTCTATATTTACATGCAAGTCCTAGACGCTGGCAAAGTGTACATCTGAAATCCAAGCCTTCGGACCATGCCTAACGATGGTCCCCTTTCTGCAGACTGCTCCGTGGTTATTAGTCAGAATTTTTTTTAACACCCCATACAACAACCTTGGGAAAAAAAAAGAAAAAAAGAAAGACCCAAACCCATCAAGAGTAACAGCAAAACCGAACAAAAAAAGTCTCTCTCTCTCTCTCTCACGGGTCCTCAGAGAACCACTCAGTAAAACGGGGGGAAAAAAAGCGTTAAAAAAAAAAAACAGAAAGAAAAGAAAAACACCCAGTAGTTTGGACAGGACAGAGATTTGTGTGACTGGGAAAATCTGCTTTTTTTTTTTCCTTTTTTTTTTCCTTTTTTTTTTTTCTTTCGCTTTGTTTAATCCTTTCACCAGGTCCTACCGTATAGCAAGGTGGAGCAAGACATGGCAGTGCCATAGTCAGAAGTAGAAGAGTTTAGGTGAGACAAACTGGAGACTTGGCTCTGCAGAGAGGAAGGGCTGGCCGAGTGCTGTCCCATGTCTGGAGACTGCCCCGCACTGTTTGTCTGGTGGCTCTGATGCTGTCCGAGGCTGTTGCCATTGGTAGCCACTGTGATCGTTGTAGCTGCCTGCTGCTGATGGCTCTGGATAGCTGCTGTGGGTGTGTTGGAGCCTGCTTGGCAGGGCTTGCCATCCTTTACAAGCACTGGCACCGCCACCCTTCTGGGAGACTGCTGCTGCTGGCAAGAGCCGTTCTCCTGTTGCATCTGCTGCTGCGCAGCCTTGTCTTTGGCCTGGCGTTTCATCTTGTAGCGGTGGTTCTGGAACCAGATTTTGACCTGAGTCGGGGTGAGATGTATCATGCTGGCTAAATGTTCCCTCTCCGGGGCGGAGAGGTATTTCTGCTGCTTGAAACGTCTCTCCAGCTCGTAAACCTGGGCCTGGGAAAAAAGGACCCTCCGTTTCCTCCGCGGCGTGCTCTGGAGCGGGGCCATGCTCTTGCTCACGTCTCCCAGGGAGCCGAGGCTGCCCATGCCGCCCATGTTCATGCCCGAGGACGGCGCCATGAAGCGGGAGACTGCAAGGGAGAAGGCGGCACGGTTTAGGCGGCTCGGCTCGGCCCCAGCGGGGCCCCGCGCTCCCGCGGCC